CGCATGCGCTGTCACAGAAGAATCGCCTATGCGCAGTTCGCACCGTATCGGGTGTGCAAAGACGGTTCCCTAAAACTCTCTAGTAGATCCCTTCGATAACGATACCCGGTAACTGTACGATGCATGCGCACGGGCATCGCGTCATGCGCTTCCGTTTTTTCGCCGTGCACGCCGATTTGGGAGGAACAAAGTGACGCCTTTCAGCCGCTTCCCTAACCTTAAGTTAGGGAAACCTTAAATAGTCTTAAGACGATTTTTTTTTAGAGTATTGGTTTTTGGTGGAGATTCGCCGTTTTATTTGAAAACGGCTTATAAGTTATCACGAAAACCCAACATAATCGAGCCACGAAAGGGACCTCTCATAACCGTTTTAAAAATTGCCCAGAAGCGACTGAAAGATGTCACTTCATTTCGGCGAAAAAAAAAAAAAAAAAAACGCATGCTTGCCGCGGAGACACGCGTGTGTGGACTCGAGCGCAAACAGGCGCACCGAGTGGGATGAAGTCTTTCGGGTGCTCATTGGAGAGGAGGCTATGCATTTAGACAGAGGTCGAAAAAAGAAAATCCGTATCGGCAAATAAAATTGTTAAAAAAAAAAAAAAAAAAAAAAAAAGCTATAATAATGAAAGAGGCCGATCCGTCGAGTTCATCGAACTAAGTTGGCACATCACACCATGCCACGCAGGCAACACGTTTAGTCAGCTTGGGTTAGTCAGCCCACCTGTCCAGTAAGAAATTGTATAGCGTATGAATCAGTTTGCGATCCTTGCTGTGAGCGCAACTCGGCACTGTGATTCGACGATTCTCAACCCAACTGTTATTTAGCGTAAAAAAAAAAAAAAAAAAAAAAAAAAAAAAAAAAAAAAAAAAAGGTCCTATGGTCCAGAAAAAGAAACATTCATTTAATTTCTGCATACAAGGTCATGGAATCAGCCTAATCTCGTATCGGATAAAACATTGAAGGGGAAAATTTGACACGACTAAAATTCGACATTACAATAACATGTATACATGCCCAAAGGGGATGGACGTTTAAAAATTATAATTACAACTTGAGACACGGGGATACATAAAAAAAAGGAAAGAACCACAATCTTCCGTGTATTTGTCCTCTTTTATACGAGCTCCCAAGTCTCGGATTTTCGTAATTATGAACAGTAGCCACCTAGCTCTTTTTGTTTTTGTTTTTTTAAAGTATTTTTACAGTTCTATTGTGGAGAGGTTGTCTTGTGCGAAACGCATACTGCTCACGGCGAGCGCAGCAGCGAAACGCCGCCACGCCTGAAGCTATATAAACCCGTTTGGCGTATACACACGCTCGTAAATGCTTCACAATAAAAGTGCGGGAGGGAAGTTCGCACGTGGCGCTGTTTTTACGCGCCGCTCGCCAGAACGTGCCCGAAAGGAATTGGCTTTCTCCGTCACGATCTGCCTTCCGTGTCACCCAACCTGTGGACTCGCAACGGACGCCTACGAGTTCTCCGAACCAATGCAAAGCCGCAGTCCGACAGCTCGCGTATATCGTACAGAAAAGACATCATATATGTACGCTACGAACCTGTGTGCCGACAGTTGCTTGTATGACAAATGTAACAGGAGGACTGCGATACAAGGAAGAAACAGGTCTCAAACAGTGTTTGAAGACAGTTTTTTTTTTTTTTTTTTTTTTTATGATGTAAAAAATGTAGAGTGTAGAAGTTTATCCATAGCTGTGAGCGTGTCGCGTATGTCGCGAATCTGTCGAGGTTAGAAATCGACCATATATGGTTACGACTTATTTTAACTTATGACGCGAAATTTCGTCGCAAGTTGTCGACTGAAATTCGACTTTTAAACGCATGCGCGAAAAGTAAAAAAAAAAAAAAAGAATATATATATATATATATATATTGTTACAGAGCAATGGAAAAGTGCAATATTCGTACGCTATATTATTTCGCATTTTCACGTTGATAAACTAAACCTTAAGCATAAATAGTACGAATCTTCGTCTTTATAATTGGAAAAACACCGGTAATCATTCTATAAGACAAGCTGAAAAATGAAGTAGTTTTATATTCTTTGTTTTCTGAAATACGCAAGTTCTGTCTAGAAGTCGGGCAACACTGTCCATAAGTCGAACTTTCGCTTTCTCGGCCAGGTGGCGCGAGCTAGCATCCATCCATCCATCGTCGAACTCCGCTAAACGTTCCAAGGTTCACCGAACAAGTCGAAGCTTCAATTCAACAACAGTTCGTGACACGAAACCACAATCACGTGACTACGCATCCCGCGCGCCTCGCTGCAGCCCTCCCTTCGAAGGTCCATCTCGGTCCATATCGTATGGTGAAGAAACTGGGACATAGCTTCCGTTCCCACGCGTCCGCATGTAGTTCTCATTGTTCGGAAGGATCGGAAGGCGTTGGGCATCGGGCGCTCGGCCAAACCTCTGGAGAAAGAAATCCGAGGCATTCTTGCGCAGCCTTCCGCATCCAGTTCAGTTGGGTAGGGAGATCATAACCGTCCAATTAATCGGACCTCGAGAGCTCCAAAATCAATTAAAAGTCCCCTTTTTTTTTCTTTTTTCACTTTTATCTATTGGTTTGGTGCTTCGTTGTTGGCACTGGCACAAAAGCCGTCCTTCCGATTAAAACAAAAACAAAAACGATCTTGTGCACCGAGCCGAAGCAAAAACGCGAACGTTAAGTGTGCGGTGGTGTTATCATGACTAGCGTTTTCACTCCGCCAGCCCTGCGCGCCTGTTGCACGAGTAAACTTCAGCCCACCACCGCGCTTCCCTCGTGCTCCAAAGATTTCTAAAAATTACTCATTTTGATTTCGTGCTTTTCGATGACTCTCAAAAAGTTTATGATTAGAACCTAATGTTTATTTTCACTTATTAAAAACTTAACTAGCAAATATTTGTTCATTATCAAAGTTATCGCGACGATTAGGTTCTATACAGATAATGTCCCCCTGGCCATATAACTCACCTGTAAAGGTCGCGGTGGTGTACACCTTTCGGGGCTTTTTCTTATTGAACCATGTTCGAATTCAAATCAAACACCCCGTATCTCTAAGTGCATTGCTAGAAAGTAGACCCACCAAACTTCCCAGGGTGTACGATAGCACCCACTTTGCTCGCTCTCCAAAGCCACGAACACGCGCGTAAACTGGGCTTGTGGACTCGTATAAACGTGTGGCATTTCCTACGAGAGGAGGAGCGCGCCTAGAGGAGGCTCTGGTTGGACGGACTAGTGGGTAGACCTAAAGCTATGCCTTTGTCTCCACGGCACTCGTCGAATGCGTTCCAATGCGACAGCCAAACACCGGACGCCTGCGTTACGTTTTCAACGAGTGCAGCGGAGACAAAGGCAGCTAGCTTTCGGTCTACCCACTAATCCTTCCAACCACAGCTCGGCATTCTGGCGTCCCGGCGCACTCTCGCATCCTCCTCTCCCTCGGTTTCTCGGCGCATTGCCTTTGACTGCATGGCCAGTGGGGCGAAAGTTCGTCTGTTTCTTGCAGGGTGGCTGCAGTGACGTCGGAACGGCGAGCTCCGATTGGAAGGATAGTGGGTAGACGTCAATGCTAGCTGCTTCGAGCTCCACCCGCTATCCTTGCAGTCGGGGCCAGTCACAGCTCGGCGTTCCGAGGTTACCGCGCAGAGAAGCAGTCGAACTTGCGCTCCGTATGTCGCCTCTACGCTCGGGCTCTGGATCAAAGAGAAACGTGCCCCCGTAGCACACTCCAGATCCGACGAAGCGCTGCGCAACGGCGACCCGGGAACCGACCAAGCGAGGCAACAAGCAAAGTGCCGAGTCGGCGGCGGCGGCGCCAGCGAGCGCGCGGTCTTCTCTTTTGGGCGTTTCTTCCTCCCAAATAAACAGCGGGGAGAATGCACACGCCCCCGCGTTTCAGTGGCCGAGTTGAGGTTTCCGAGAGACCAACAACCTTCGTCGAGAGCGCCGGCGAAACCGCGCGTCGGCGGATCTGGAAGAGATCCGGCTCTCCCACGCAGGATATTTAACGTATATATCACGCAGTAGTGATACACGACCGCACGCCGGTACGATGCTCATCCAGAAACCGGGATAAGTATTACGACATTTTATCTAAGGGTGTAGGCTTTGACCGGTACATCGAAGCCAATGCAGACCACGCTATTACTTCGTATTATACCTGTGCCCTTGGCATCGGATAGAAATAGTGGCTCCATCCTAAGAGAGATAGGGACACCCAAGTGTGACATTCCTTATTTGCAGGTTCCCCTGCAATTTGAACTCCCTGCCCTCTCCCTCTAGAAACTCCAACTTTCGCTTAGTAAGAAGGACGAACCAATTGAGAATCGGGCACAATTAGAAATATAACAATATTGTTCGCAGGCACGTAGCCAGGATCTTTTTTGGGTGGAAAAGGGGGGGGGGGGGGGGGGGGGGGGAAGGGGAAAGCCCATGACAAAATGCTGCATGAGGGGAAGGGGAAAGAGGAGGGTCCCAGGAAAATGGAAGATTTCGGGGGCGGGGGGGGAGGGGGGGGGGGGGCATGGACAGTCCCTCCCCTCCCCTCCTCCGCTCCGCTCCCTCCCTCCCCCCCCCCCCCCTCTACGTCTCCGATTGTTCCACACCATTTATATTTCTAGATGAGCCTGGGTACTTATTTTAACCGTACACAAATCGCAAATACGCTTCAAATATTCAAATAAAACCATTATTTTTTTTTTTTAATATAAAATATCCCCGGTGTTGGGAAAACGGCGGGGAACGATTTTCGCATGCATCCGAATTTCGAGAGATTTTCCGCTGGGCGATTGCAGACAGGTGTTCCAGCTTTTACGGCTCTCCCACACAATCACGACAAAAAGTAATAAAAAGAAAATAAAAGTCCCGAAGCTTACCGGTAAAACGAAACGACTTCCATCTTCCAATGATAAAGAAAAAAAACAAGGAGCCAACACGACATAAGAAAAAAGAAAGAAAAAAAAAAAAAAAAACGCAGAAGGAATGCTTTTTATGACTCACTGGTCGCTCTTGACAACCTTCTTGACCTTGCTGTCTCGAAGGCGCGCGTCCACGGGCTCAGCCGAAATGGCCAGACGCTTCGGTCGGGCCCCCGCCGCGGCGGCAGCAGACGCCGTCGCGGAGTCGACGTACGGAGAAGCGACGTCGTCGTCGTCACGTCCGGGAGACGTCTGACGCGACCACAAGATCAGGTTCTGCGTCAGCTGCTCCGTCAGCGGCTTCATGATCGCCCGAAACTTGTGCAGCTGAGTCTGAAGCTCTCGCATCGCGCACTCCTTCTCCTCGAGTTGCAGCTTGAGGTCCGCGATCAAGCCGTCCTTAGCGCGGATTTGGGCGAGCGCTTCGTCGAGGGCACAGTTTTCCACGCGAGCAGCGGCGTCTTCGCTATCCATGGTCGCGTCCCACGATTGGTCCGACACAGAACAGCTACGCTAATCACACCACCAACTCGTCTTCACGCACGTGTGCATCCGCGCGCGCCGCCGACGAGCTCCGTGTAGCGTCGCGTCCGCGTCCCAAGTCCGGCAGGAAATAGAAAAGCGTTCCACACTCGACACACTCCGAGCCGCAAACCGCAGACGAAACGGGTGGTCCCAGCAGCCAGGAACGCAGAAAATACACCTCGGATAGCGCGCGGGAGACGCTTCCGCGAAAGCCACTTTTACACACGCACACGCCTCGGCAAAGACGGACCGAGGGCGATTCGACGAGGAGGAGCGCGAGCTCAGTTCGGGGAAAAAGGCAGCAGCGCGCGCGTTGGCGGCGCAGCAAAGTGAGCGAAGTCTCCAACCCTCCTCCTGTCGCGGTTCGCAACAGTCTCGCGTTGCGGCACGTCGTCCCTCTCGGCCCGGTCGGTCGGTGTTTCTCTTCTTCCAAAATAGCAGCAGTAGAGGCCTATGATGACGACGACGAAAGAATGTTGCCGTTTCCAAGTCGGCCACCGCGAGCTTGCGCCGGCCCGCTTGCGAAGACGACGTTCCGCCGATGACGCTGAGGAGGCTAGCGTGGGACCAAGTGGGACCTCAGACTCCGAAAGCGAGTGCGATGTTTCATCCCCTCCTTTCCCCTTTCTTCCGTCTCCTCGCCACCTTGTCCGCCTCCCTCGAAGCCCTCGGCGGGCGCTTCCGTAATAAACGTTTTAAGGTTATATAAAAATTAAAAAAAAGAAGTGAGGGAAGTAAAACAAACGGAACGCACGCCGGGAAATTGAAAGCTTGTTCTACGCTCCCGTTCACCGCTGAGCAGTTGGTGGAAGCTGCGTGTAGGTTAGACCTATCTTTCGCCACGTGATCAAGCTTCTGCCCAAACCAACGTCCAGAGATCGGGGTCAGGTGATGAAAGGTAGGCGTTCGATTGGCCCGGCGAGTGCATAGCTCCCACCGCTCTGTCAACTGGGGGGCCAAGAGAGCATAGCGGGGTTCCAGCTTGCAGGCAAAAGGAGGTAGGTGGATATAAGAGACCGACTCTTGAACAGGGCGGAGGGCTGTTTCCCGGCCCTGGTTCGTACTTACACATGCCGGCGTTTGCATCGGGGCTCAGAATCTCTCCCCCTCGAGAGGAGTCTATATATATAAAGCCGCGCGGCAAACAATGAGCGAGTGTTCTCATTCCGTTCCTCTCCGAGCGCTTCCTCCCGCGATGACGCTGGTGAGGGGGGAAAAGTTCTCTCCTCACAAAGCTGCCCGCACGAGATGCAAGTGCCGTTATGCAACTTGTGTGCGGGCGGAAGTTTTCGAGCGAGGGCCCGTGACACGTTGCCTCAAACCACAACAAGCGCCTCATCCGCACTGTAAGAGAATATCCATGCGCGACTGCTTTCCCGCAGAGCACTTAAAACCGCAATCGCTGCGACCCGCGGAAAAAAGCTACGATCAAGTGGCGAGAAGAAGAAAAAAAAAAAAAAGTTTCACCGAAAGTTGCGTACACAAAGCTTTCTAGGCCAAAACGTGTTTTCGTGATAGACACGCACGTAGTTGACGTAGCATGCTCTCACGATATGTGCACGACTACTGACGACCGGAAGACCAGCTCTGCTGTTCTTTGAACTTCTTTCTAACCTGCCGGCAGCCGTGACGTGGGCAGTTAGCTCGGTCGGTCATCCTACTTACACTCGTACGAAATCTGGAGCGTCCGCTTTCCGACAAAGCACTCGGGAGAACCAATCGCAGCAATCCACGGAAGGAGATCGGCGAATGATAAGGCTGACAATATGTTTATTCGTGAAACTCGAATCAAGTCTCATAATGCTCAATGTCCCAGCATGTTTTTTTTTTTTTTTTCTTAAGTTTAAACATTTTTAACCTCGAAGCTGACCGAGAAGTACATATTTTTTTTTTTTTTTGAACCCTTAAGGCCGGGGTCAGACTGCTTATACATCATACAAAAGACAGTCTGCATACAGATTCGATACGTTTTATAACACACGACTACTCGCGAACGTCAAGCGTAACTGCACTAAAATTCAACCTCGACCTATGCCCTCTATCTCAAAGATCTCAACTTGCTCGTCTTGTCCTTTTTCACAAAACTTACTATTCCTCTTCTGATTTTCGAAACACCAACTGTCACCCATCACCTCACATCTCCTTGGGTCATGACCACAGCCTAAAAATTAAACCTCTATTCGCCAGAACTAATAAATTCAAAAATTCCCCATTTTCTCTCGCTGCTACTAACTGGAATTCCCTTCCTGAATCCATAGTACGTGAATCTAACCCTAAGACATAACGTGAACTATGCAAGGCACACCTGAAAAGTGTTGATCCTTAACATGTTTGTCTGCTAATAATTTTTTATACATGTTATGTTCTGATATCTGTCCTATTAGTTTGTAGTTCTTTTGTTTTCTTTTTGCGTTTTCGTATTATTACCTTGTCGTCACTTTTTTGCCATCTGTATATGTCATTTGATCCCCCCTCATGTAATGCATTTCATTTGAAATGCCTTTGAGGTAAAATAAACTGAACTGAACTGAACGCGACTATCCGCGACATCCGTGCTTCAAATGCCGCGTGGCAATGAGTTCACGGAGAAAACTTGGCACACGGCATTCCAATTACGGATATTGCGATGACTCGTGTTTGCGCACTGTCCTTTGCATAATGTATGGGCATTATGACCCCGGCTTTACCCTTGGGAGGGGGGAAGGGGGGGGGCGGGATAGCTGAATGTGGTATTGCATTACATATAGTCGGTGACAGGCTAAGAAGATCCCAGTAAAAATGCTGAACCTCGAGCGCGAGCATTCTGCCTTTAAACCACTTCGTCGCACGCGCGGTCAAAGCCCGGCGGAACGGAACGAGCCCATGCTGGAGGAGACGCATCTATACCGGGTTCTTAACTCGTCACCGATTATTAAAAAGTTCACATGCGATTAGCTGACAGCTTTACGCGACAAGAAGTGACAAGACAGTAAAAAATTGCTCACCAAAAAGGCGGTTAAAAAAAAAAAATGATCGCTCGGAGAAACGTACACAAGTATGCACACATCATTGTTCACGGCCGAGAATAGGAGACTTGACCAAAGCACTCGTCACTGCATCCTAGTCAACTCTGTGATGACTCACTCCGCGCGCGGCGCTTCGTAATCTTTTTTTTTTTTTTTGATTTTCACGCCAAACGGTGCTGTTGAAACAGGTGACCGAAATGAATGTGAACGAACCGAAAGTATGATTCATATGTTCGAGGGAATCTAAACAAAGCTGCGCGCATGTGTCCCTAAAAGGTCGTTGTGTCGCTACGACCCGAATCGCCCGTGGAAAACGTTTCGGACAAAGGACTCGCGAACGCTGCGGATGTTTCTCTTCGACATAGGAAGCTCACAGGGAAGGAACTATTATAAGGTTGTAATTCTATATACTTAATATAAACTGGCACATTGTTTCCTCTCGCAGATTACTGGCAGCGTCGCAGTGACATGGATGTTGGTGTGCCCTTTCGTAAGACAAAATGGCCTACCCATAGCTTCCAAACGACAGTTTTACCGCTGTCGCATATTCGCATGATGAGCAGTGATATGATTGGTCCGAGCCATTTTGTAGCCGTTTTTCCTTTTCAAGCGCAAGCATATTCTTCATTCTCATTCGCTCCACTAGGAACACTGTTATTTTTTTATTAACGTGTTGGTATGTCTCACTAAAAGACTGTGCTTCTTTGCCTTCCCACTTCCGTGCAATCCACTGCAAAACATAAATAAATGACAAATGTAAAGATTCATGATGATACAAAGTCAGCACGTGAACGATAAATATACATTTAAAAAATTCCGCAAAATTTATTATTGTTATTCTCAAGCTTTCGTTCCACCGCTGAAGTCGATTTAGTCTTAATTTAGACACATTCGACTGCGTCCACGAAGGTACGGAGGCCTGGTCAGAGGTGTTAACTCAACCTAGGAATTAAACCCATGACACTGCCCGGTTACACCTAAGTTACGTGATTCATCAACGCTTTCCCAACACCCAAGTTCGAAATAATTAATAAAGACAAAACACGACCAATGAGTCGTCCAACTCGTCATGATGTCGCAGTTATCGTACAGACTAACTGCAGTTTTATTTTCAAATTTTACTGTCACATAATTAAGTTTTTCTTCTTTTTTTTTAATGTATATTCCTGTTTTGAAACCCAGCCTTGTACACGTTACTCCAATACTTTAACCGACTACCATTACAATTACTTTTGGTTACAAAGTATTCAATTTGATTACTCGATTACTGAGAAGAAAAGTAGTTTGCCGTTAGTTGAAAAAGTGACCGTTACTTCTTTTATTACTTCGGATTTTCAGAACGATATATTTTTCTTCCGGTTTAAAAAACGGGCTTATCGTACTGTATCGTAATCGCGATTACAAGTAACTTGATTACTCGTAATGACTATCCAACAAGTCTCTTCTAAACACCCAACGCACGGTCACCCACCGTTTCATCCTGGAGGCGTGTTTTACCACTGAACACGAGGCTGCCCCGCGGCGAAGCGACATACGCAGGATCGCGATGTCTACTCTGCGGCAGTAGCTTCTCCGCAGTGCACCAGTGCACGGTGAGAAGCGCACCCAACGGAGCTAATTAAACGGTCCGAACCACTGATCTCTACTATAGGGGGCTGGATGGCGCTTAGCTGCTCTCCGAGCCTGCCGCAAATGAAGCCACCGGAAGGTCGATGCCTGTCCCCGAAGTCGGGCGTGCGCTGGGCTTCCTAGTGCATTCAGTCGATATTTTGAACCGTGCTTTTTTGTGTCTTTGATTGGATTTTAATACTCCCGTTCTGGATTGAATCCCGAGGATGAGGGATTTGAACTTGGGACATATACACAACTTGATCAGCTATAATCTCAAAATGTTTACATTGAATGGCTTCCCATGATACTTCTCGGGTCCGCATGCGCTCTTACTGCGCAACAAGCAGGCTCTCTTGAGGGAACAAGCGAAAAGCCAGCGCCCTCAACGCTTTTCGAACTAGCACTCGGAAGGGTTACAAAGCCTGCCAAGCGCTCACTTCCGGGACAAGCAGCTCCCTTCCGGTGGCTTCATACCTGTTTGCTCAATGCGCCATCCAGCCCCCTTTAGTGGAGATCAGTGGTCCGAACAGACCACAAACAATAAGAAGTGCTATGAAACTTCCGATTCCTGAATCGTGTTAGATTTTGAAAATTTGCG